CCCCCCCCCCCCCCCCCCCCCCACACACACACACACACACACACACACACACACATTGTACCTCGAGGAACATGGTCCAAAATCCACAAAACACATGTAGACTGGATGGGCAAACTCCCATGACCCCTTGAGGACTCTAGTGAAGGTAAAGAGCTCAAGTCTTCCATGAACAGGATGAACCCACATTGTTCCTCCTGGATCTGAGGTTCGACCAATGATCACTGTATCGTTGTGCATGGTCAGATTATTTTTGAAGATTGGAGTTGTTTTAAGATTGCAGCATCCCAATCTAATCTGGGTCCTGCTACAATCAGCTGATCGTTTACCAATCCAGTCTGAGTTAAACTTTTTATTTTTCTCCAAACAGAAGTTGTTCAAAAAGCTATCTACAACAGGTAAGATGTTAATAGTCTGTAACCTTTCCACAGTACCCCAATGTAAAACATTTGAACTTAAATCTAATTGTTTGCTAACACAATTTCAGCTGGACACATTGCAGCATTTAGACCATTCATGTTTGTGTTTAACATTTTTACAACATTCATGAAGCCCTGAAGTGATCAAAGCTTCCACTCTGCTCAGATGAAGTTCTCATTGGCTGCATTGCTGTGCATGTGCATGTTTTCTGTAGAGTGTTGTTTCTTATGTGAATGTTTAATTAATAATTAATTAATTTGGAAGAGGTCCCAGAGATATCCACTATAGGGAAAAGTGTTGGCCCAAGGACTTTAACGTCTACGCTGTCCTTTAGAGGTTGAGATGGGAACGATGAGGTGGGGTTATTTTTTACAGATATTACAGAAACATCCCAATTCTTTGCAAATTAATTTTAAGATGGGCTACTTTTCCATCTTGACTTCAATGAGACTTCTCTGTGCTGCTGGCCTGACAACAATGGACCGAACTATGAAACGTTCATTAAAATTGTTGACACTTTGTCTTTTATTCTAGCGCAGAGTTATTAAAGTGTGTAACTGCCTGCAGTCTGTAGCTGCTGATATTTGTGTAAATGTTACCTTTTTAATCTGCAGGAACTTTTTCTTTTGAGTCCTAAAACAGAAATTTGTAGCAATCTAAGAATCCTTTTCAAAATGCACTTAGCTCATATATTTAAGTACAGTATGTTGCTCCTGTGGACCTGCAGTTGCTCAAGAATGGACGATGCAACACAAATAGATCAAAACACAAATATTGTCATATATATCATTTCCTATACTTCCTTCCTTAGATAGAAAATGTTTCTAATTGACATTTATAATGTATGTGGATGTTCTTGTTTAGTACCCTGAGATAACTTCTGTTGTGACTTGGTGCTGTATAAATAAACTGAATTGAATATATCCTGATGCATGCTCAGTAATCAGTGGTGGACAGTAACAAAGTATATTTACTTGAGTATTGTACTTTTTTTTTTTTCATTTAGCCTTTATTTATCCAGGTTAGTCTCATTGAGCCACGAGAACTCATTTTCAAGAGAGACCTGTTTAGGGAGCACATTGTGGGGGTTAAGGGCCTTGCTCATGGGCCCAGAGTGGGGCGAATGAGGGTGGGGGCAAGTGTGGGTGTTTCACCTACCCCACCCACAATTTTGATGTTGTCGGGGTCGGGGCGTGAACCGGCGATCTTCGGATCACAGGCCCACCTCTCTAACCTCTGCGCCACCACTCCCCCAATGTACTTAAGTACATTTTCTGAGTATCTTTACTTTACTTGAGTATTTGTGTTTTTTGGGGGAACTTATGACTGTCACTCCACTACATTTCAAAGACAAATATAGTACTTTCGACTCAACTACATTTCTAGGAAGTTTCTTGCTCCTTTTGGCTCAGCTCTGTAATCCACTGTTGCTGTTTTTCTTTCCTTAAATGCAGTTGGCCAATTGTTGATTCAGGTATTATTCTAGATTCATCTGTGCAGAACAGTCATTGTTTTGTAAGCGTCTATGTTAAGTATGGCAGAACTTTCAGTTATCAGTGTTACTGTTTCCTCTCCTGTGTTAAGTTGTTGCTGTCAATATATGCACTTTTACAGATAAATACTGAGGTGTATGAATACTGAAGCTGAGGAAAAGACTAAATGTGCATCATCTGTTAGGATTTCCATGATGTTCCACAAACATGTAAAATGCAGGGAAGATATTATTTGTGGTTTATAGGTTTAATTAAGGCATGTGGTGTTAGAATGGTTCTACGTCAATACGTCATCAGGTGGTTTCAGAGAGTTACAAGCTCCTGTAAAATCACTCAAAACAATACAGCAATGTACCGATATTAGAAAATATAATTTGTACTTTTAAATACTTGAGTATTTTTTAAATGCTTGTACTTTTTAATACTTCAGTATTTTCAAAAGTAAGTACTTCAGTACTTTAACTCAATTAAAGTTTTGACTGAGCAACTTTTACTTGTAGTTGAGTAAGATTTAACCATGAGTATCAATACTTTTACTTAAGTACTAGAAATGAGTACTTTGTCCACCACTGTCAATAATCCAGGTAGAAAATCTAAAAAAGTTAAGTCAGGGCCTCTATGGGTTAAAAAAATAAATAAAAATAAATTGTAAAAACGTTTGTCTTGAATTGAATTGAACACACACATATACATTATATATATATATATATATATATATATATATATATATATATATATAATGTATATATATATAGATATATATATATATATTTACATATAAATTGATTACATATATATACACAGTATCCAATATATACAGTATATTGTATATAAAGTACAAGGTTATTTGTGGTAATATTGGGTGCCACCAAGTGTACAGAGAGTGAAACTGCAGATGTTCCTCAGACTCGTCTCTCCAGTGAAACCCTGAAATCAAATTCAGTGCAGTTTTTCCTCATTGGATTATTTTGTGTTCTGGTTACTAAACATTTAAATTAAAAATAAACAAAAAGAGAATAATCTTGTGTTTTATTTTTAATCTCAAATCTTCTAAGCTCCTGCTACAGCTGGAGAAAGCCTAATGATCCTCAAAGCGTATATTCCACTTTCATAAAGGGCCAGATGTGGTCAGAAAGAGAAGATTGATATGGGTCAGCTTTTTAAGTAAGGAGACACTTTTAAAAACATCTAGGTGAAGATCGGATATTCTTCTTTGAATAATAGCAGCACAAAAACTGTGAAATGTTTTGGAGGCTTGTGAAGCATGAGAAAAGGTGAACAGGAGACAAGTGATAAGTGGACAAGAGAAAGATGGATGGGGTTTAATACCAATGAACGAAACAATGAAAAGAGGAACAGGATATAAACCTAATGTGAATTCATTATTGACCCACTCTGCCTGAACAGTCTACGCTGCTTCAAAAATATGCTTTGCCATTCTTTCCTGGATTAAAATAAGTAAATAAATGACAAAAAAGAAATTTATCAGATGTTTATGTTCCAAAAATTATATAACACAAATTCTATATTAGCTTTTCATTTTAACACCAAAGTTCATGCTCAATAATCCAAGTACAAATCCAACATTGTCAGGTCAACTGGACGATTTCTGTTTTTGCCGAGTCATTTCGTCCTTCATCCAAAGGACTTCTTCAGTCCAAGGAGCCACAAATAAACTGAGGCATGGCTGCCTCAGAGGAGTTAACGGGGGTGAGGGAGAGCCCCATAAACCATCTTATCACCAGCATTTTTTTTTTCCCCACTATGGGAGTTGGTGCTTGTGGGACGCCACAGTTTGTTTATGGCTCCTCGAACTGAAGAAGTCCTTTGGATGAAGGACGAAACGTCTCAGCAATAAAAGAAACCATCCAGATGACCTGACTGAACACTGTTGGATTTCATCTTAACCAACAGTTGTCCAAGACATGAAGATTTCAAATAACAAGCAACTCATGCTTTAAGTTGGAAAACTCTCCTTTTTATTGAAAGTACATAAGTAAAACTTTTCAAATGTGTATTTCTGCAGGACTAGAGCATAGCTTGGGTTTTAATTAGGAAACTAATTTTTCTTTGCATACATACATACATACATGTGTACTTTTTTGCATACACGGATTATGGTTTGCAACAAAGTATAAATGAGAAAAAAAGTTATTAACTACAGGCTTGTAAAGAATAAAACTAATGGAACATTTACAACCTATATTTACAGGCCTAATAATAAAGTAGTAAAGAAAAGTCAGGTCAATCAATAAGCACCAATCGTGTCTTGTAATGAGTTTATTCTTCAGAAAACGATACAACCAGCTTGTTTAAAGCTTTCTTCGTCGGACTTCAGGAAAACACAATGATCTGCACAAACGTTGGTTAATAAAACATCTTCAGAGCAACAATGTGATGTTGATATGAGGTGGCTGTGGTCAGATTGTTGCATCTTAATTGTGTATTTATAGTCAGAAAATAAATCAAGATGAGGGAACAATACCTCTCCGGCTGCTTTCTTTAAGGTGTTGAGAAAAAAAGTAGTCTCCAGGACTTATGAATGTTATTATTTATATACACTGTATCAAATAATATTATAAATGATCTATTACTTTCCAAGAGTTTTAAATGCTTCATTTCTGTCAAGTACCGGTCAGAGCCACGGTGCAGAATTCTCATCCCATAATTTGAAAAATTAAAAAGGACGACTTCTGATGGTAAACTGCTCACTCGCTGTAAATGTTGCAGACGTGCAAATGTTAAGTTAAAGGCACACGAGGATGCACATAAGCAAACAGAATATTTACAGAGACAATCGATGTTTATATATAAATAATTATACGATAGCGCTCGTGCAGCTTCCAAAGCGAGGCTTTGGTGCATCACAAACTTCAGTAACCGTCAGAGAATAATGTGTTGCAACAAATCAATCCTCTACAACAAGAATCGAACAAATCCACTCCTGCCGTTTCCCCTCCGATCCAGCAGGAGTCCCCCACCACCCACAGACGCGTTAGAAGGAGGAGGCAGGGATGGATGGAGGGCAGCCCGGCTGGATGTGCTTCAGGTGGCAGGAGTGGCAGAGCAGGTGACCGTTCAGAGGGTAGCAGCGGTGGCCCTCCTCGTCGTTCAGCTCCATCTCGCAGTCCTGAATGACACATTATTAAAGACGAGTGAGCGCAACAGGAAGGAACAGAGGAGAACTGGACTCATCTGTGCGTTTTATTAAACTCTGACCACTGAGAAGAGAAAAAACATCCTGAGAGAAACAACTGCTTCAGCCCATTATGAGGCATTTGACTGGCAGATTTTCGAGGATAAATATTGTCTAAAATATACATTTATTGTGTGGATGTTTATGAAGCATTCACACTATTGTGATCCTTTTTTCATCCGTACGTTTCTCTGCATCTTTCTCGTTCCACAGTTTGAAATAGCACCAGAAGGTGCTATTTCAACGCATCATAAATCAAAATGTTCCGCTCGTTCAGGAGGAGGGAGCTAGGACTTTTGGTATTGGTGCAGCTTTAGCTTTTTGAAATATTTAGCCTTTTCTGTCACTTTTTAATCACTGAAAATGAATTGAGCTCATTTTACATGCTTCACATCTTCAGATCTGTTTACAACTTTTGACTTCTCCTTTCACATTTTGTTCAGGTTCAGCATCTTTCAGCTTTCTTGAGCAAATTTTAACTTTTTTTCCAGCTACTTTTAGCTCATTTCAGCAGTTGTTTCCAGCTGCTTTGTGCTCTTTTCAGAATCTTTCTTCTAACTATACAAAATTGATGTTCTTCTTCTAACTTTTTTTCTGCTAACTTGAGCTTATTTTGCTCCTTTGGGCTTATTTATGCAAGTTTAAGCTTTTTCTGCTATTTCAGGTACCATTTAGCTGTTTTTATGCCAATTTGAGCTTTTACAGCTAATTCCACATTTTTGCACTCCTTTCAACTTTTTTCAGCCTAATTCAGCAAAAATGTGCTCTCTTCACTTCATTCTGGTAACTTAAGATTCTTTCTGTTTTTTAGTTACTTTTCAGCTGTTTTTTGTGTGTGTGCAAATTTCTGCTTTTTTCCAGATAATTTCCAAATTTTTGTGCTCATTTCTGCCTCTTTAAGCCTAATTGGGCAAACATGTTATTTCTGCTTTCTTCTGCTAATTTAGGCTTGTTCTAACTTTTCAGCTATCTTTTTAGCATTTTTTTTAGCTAATTTCAGCTGTTCTTAGACAAATTCAGGTTGTTTGTGCTCATTTCTGCCTCTTTTAGTCTACTTAAATTATTTTAGCTCATTTCAGCTTGTTATGCTCCTTTCAGCTTATTTCTGCTAGTTTCAGTTATTTCAGCTACTATTTAGCTGTTTATGCTAATTCTAGCTTTTTCAGCTAATTCCACATTTTTCTGCAATAATTTTGACTTTTTTCAGCCTAATTCAACAAAAATGTGCTCTCTAGAATTCCTTCTGGTAATTTCAGAGTCAGAGAGTCGGTTAGAGATTCATTATTGTCATTCACATCTCATGTGGTACATGTGGTGGAATGGGATTATATACAAAATGTAAGCTTCTTTCTGCTTTTTAAGCTACTTTTCAGGTGTTTTGTTTTTTGTTGTTGTTAATTGAGGCTTTTTTCAGATAATTTCCAATTTTTTGTGCTCATTTCTGCTTCTTTCAGCCTAATTAGGCAAACGTTATTTCTGCTTTCTTCTGCTAATTTAAGCTTGTTCTACTTTTTCAGCTAGCTTTTCAATTTTTTTTTAGCTAATTTCTGCTCTTTTCAGATAAACTCAAGCTTTACGTGGTAATTTCTGCTACTTTCAGCCTACCGTAATTACTGGAAACTTATTTCTGCTGATTTAAATTTGTTATGGTCCTTTCAGCTTTTTCTGCCATGTCGGCTACTTTTTAGTTGTTTTGTGCTAAATTTAGTGTTTTCAGCTAATTCCACATTTCTTTAGCTCATTTCAGCTTCTTCCACTTCCTTGTGGTAGTGTAAGCTTTTTTTTTTTAGCTCTTTCAGCCCCCCCCCCCCTTTTTTTTGTAGTTGTCAAATTTCAGCTTTTTAAGCCATTTTCCTTATTTTGTTCTAATTGCTGCTAATTTAAACCTATTCCAGCAAATATGTGTTCTTTCTCTTTTCTTCTGCTAACTTAGGCTTGTTCTTCCATTTCAGTTACATTTCAGCATGTTTAACTAATTTCAGCAGTTTTTCCACAAAGTTCTTCAGCAATAAGCATTCACACTGCAGTTTTGCAGGAAATGCAGTTTCTCTAGTTATTTTTATCAGTTTGAAACATTCAGTCACTCCCTCCACATTATCTCACCAATTTTCAACTGATAAAACTAAAAGTGCAGCTGCTGACAAAGAAAAAGAAGAAGATGGAGAGCAGTTTCATACCTGCTTGACTCAGCACTGCATAATTACTAAGACTAATTAAGATCACGAATCTGCTCATTCAATTTATTTTAATGAGCTTTTCAGAGACTCTGTGACTCAGAGCTGCACAGCAAACCTTTTCAGTTTTCCCAAGTAACTTTTCTGTTCGTTTTAAACCCACCTCACAGTGATAACATTCCACGTGATAGTCTTTGTCCATGGAAACAACTCTTATAGTTTCATCTGAGCCCTGAAAGAAAAATTCACATGAAAGCAATCTCATCAGAAAACGCTTCACTGGTTTCTCTTCTCCTTCAGACAAAACCTTCAAAAGATCAATGAAGGTTTAGAGATGTTGGTGTAACCACATCTATCTGTGAATTATTTCTGCTTTTAAATAGATTTTCTAACTTTACTTCTAAAAAAAAAAAAAAAAAACTACATCTTTGTAAATAAAGCAATCTTGTTTTTTAAAATGTTCATCTGTGGCATAAAGCAAAGTTTAGTGTTTCCATTGAATAAAACAGTAAGTTATGTCTTAACAGAGAGCCAATACTTGTTTATATTGATAACACATTCTACAATCAGATGCATCATTTTGAAATAAAACTATCATTCCTAGAATGAATGCACGTTGCCCGTCTCCTTCCATGGTACCTTTTTAAACAAAAATCTTAAATTATCTGTTCGCATTCAAAACTCTACTGGGACTAACTCTCGGATTATAAGGCACATTAAGCAAAACAAAACAGACAAGTCAAACTTTATTCAACTCATTCACAATAACCACATAAAATTGGTTCGAGGTCAATAAGCACGACCAGAATTAATACATAAGGTGCACCTGATTATAAGGCTCACTGTCGATTTTTGAGAAAATTAAAGGTGCACTTTATAGTCCAAAAACACACGGTACTACCAGAACAAATTTTAGCTCATTATTTGTCAAACTGCTCGAGTCAAAACAAACTCTGTGTTGCTTAAAGTCAATTAGCTGTGGCAGCCATATTGAACTGGACTGACACAAAATGTTTTTAGTTGTAGATGTACAGCCAATAGATACTTGGAGAATGTTGTTAACTTGTCTGTAGTTCATGAAATATTTTACTAACAGACATACACATCTAGGCAGTTAGATAACTGCCTTCTTTTCATGGCAGTGGGAGATAAGATGACAGAAACGTTGTCTTACCTCTGAGGGCAGGATAGGCTGGTTACAGGCAGCACATTTAGGCGCCAGCACTCTGGAAGAGAGGGAGGGAAGTTTACTCCATTAGCTGGAGTGAACGATTCAAATTCATCCAGTCCAAAACTAAAAACCTTGTTAGTATTTTGTTGGTTCGAGTCAGATTTTCTTCTCAAACTGAACTGAACATGTGGCTGGATGTCTGAAGAAATAAGGGATGCTCAGCACCAATGCTCAGGGCTACGGGCCTAACAGGCCTGGTTGGGCGGTACATGTCGTCCACGCCGAGGTAGGAGCAGCTGCGGCCGAGGTACAACAAGCTCTACTGTTAATAACTCACATGTTGGTGCTGGTTTCAGAGAGTTCAATGCCCACCAGACCTCAATGCTCTCATATACAAACAAAACATTTACATTTTACAGACATT